GGAAACCAAGACGCTACGCACGTTAAACGGTTTGCCCAGGGGCAGGCAGAAGACCTCTGGAAGAGCCAGAGGAGAAGCCGGGGTCTCTGGGCTCCCAGGCTCCATCGCTCCCACAGACCCCGTCCCCGTGCACCCTCCGCTCGGTGTTTGTTGTCTAACTGCCTTTCTTCTGTCCCCTTCCTGCTCCCCTCTCCTCGGGAAGCCACGCTGCGCTGTCTGCACCGCTTTGCCAGCCTGAGGCGGTTAACGCACCGCAGACAGGTAAATTAACCTCTGTCCCTCTCTTTGTGCTGCCTGTTTCTCTCCTGTTCCTTCCCGGGCTCTAACTGCTCCCTCCCTCTGCGACCTGCACGGTGGCAGCTCCACACCAGGGTTCTGCAGAGAAGACGCTTCCCTTCGGCTGGGCAGACAGGGACCGCCAGGAACAAGGGTACAAGATTAAAACACAGGGCCTGAGTCTACTCTTTTTTTTTTTTTTTTTTTCCTTTTTTTTTTTTTTCCTTCTTGCTTGCCTTGCTGGAAACCAGGACAAAAAAACCCACCTTCAAAAACTGGTCTAGATAAATGAGTGCCAAACCTGCAGACAGCGATGTGGTTTGTGCCCACAGCAACCCAAACCTGGATCAGGAGCGGCAGGCACTGACCAGGCACATTTTGGAGCCCCTCCAGCCCTTGGGAGTGTCAGTCTGAGGCAAGATCAGATCAGGTTTTGGCCTTGGAAGAGTTTGTCTATGCAGGAAAAGGGAAAACCCTGTTCGAACATGCCTTGTCCTTAGATATATTTAAACTTCCTTACCTCCAGGTACAAGCGAGGGATGCTTTGGGCAGGTGGGTGGCAGTTCCTGCTCCTGGCTCCACGTGGCAGCTGCTGAGCTGGCTGCAGCTTAGCCCACCACCAGCTCCAGGTTACCTTGTACAATAACCTTGCCCATGGAAACACAGGACCTACAGGCAGATGATGCGCCCTGCGTTCAGGGGGTGACCTGAGGGGAAGGCAGGAAGGTGGCAGGTCAACAACAACCATCGCAAAACTTCCCCTTCAGCAATTCAGAGCCTGTGTAGACAGGATTTGGAAATTTCCTTTTCCCTGAGGACATCCCTAACCCACCCGGCTGAGGCAGGCAGCAGTCATGACCAAGACCGTGTTTGTTCTGCTCTGAAAGCACGTCGGGTGCTTGGCGGCCACGTGTCACTTGGCCACAAAATGACTGCGTTGTCTGTGCGGCTGGGATGCACCTCGAGGACTAGCGCAGCATCCCCAGCCCCACTCGGCAACCGGCACAGAGCCCACGGCCTGGGCAACACAGGGATGCAGGGAGTAGGGAGCTCTGAGCCACGGCAGCCATTTAATGAGACCATCGGCTTCGTTTCAGCTTGTTCGAGAGCGGCATTAACTGGGGCCGGGTGATTGCGCTGCTGGGCTTTGGCTACCGCATGGCCGTCCACGTCTACCAGCACGGCATAACGGGTTTCCTCCGCCGGATCATCTGCTTCGTCGTGGATTTCATGCTCCGGAACCGCATCGCCCAGTGGATCGCCCAGCAGGGAGGATGGGTGAGCCGGCGGGAGCGCAGGGCCGTCTGGGGGGGTTCGGGGGCGAGGGGAGGCAGCCTGGGGACCGCGGCTGAGCTTGGTGGGGTCCCCCGGGTGCAGGCAGAGCGGCAGCCTGGCCCAGGCAGATCTAACACGCTCTGGTTATTCTCTGTTTCTCGTTAGGTGGCTGCACTCGATCTGGACAATGTTTACATGAAGTACATGCTGGTGGTGGTGGCCCTGGTCATGGTGGGGCATTTAGTGGTACGACGCTTCTTCAGGCCCTGACTGACATGCGGGCAGAGGCTGGGGGGTCCGGCCAAGCTCTCTCTCAAATCTCTGCTCTGCATTGACGTCTCCCAAGAGAGGGGGGATTCAAGGAACCTCCAAGAGAGAGAGCAGCTTGGACCTGTGACCCTCCTGCTGCAGGGCCCAGGGTCTCTGCCGCCTATGGAGACACCACCAGGAGCTATGGCAAGAAGCAGTTGGGGGGGTGGGAGGTTCAACTTTGTTGTTTTTGGCCTCGCTTAGCTGCTGAGGACAGAGCATCGCAGTGACACTCCTAGCACACAGCAGTGAGGCAGAACGGGCTCCTCTGGAGTCAAGATTGTCTGGAGGAACAAAATGTGTCATTGTGATAATGCCAGTGTGTGGGAGCACATGGGTCTTCTCCACTCCTTGGGGCTGGGGCACAGCTCCCTGTTTGCTGATGGCTCTAGCCTAGACCATTCCTGCATTTGAAGAGGGGTTGCAGCCTTGGTTGCTGTGATTGTAAGTCACTGGAGGGGCAAGCTAGCATTAGAGTGCCCGTGTGGGGCTTGCTTTCCCCTTCCCTCTGCTCCTGAGCCCAAGTACTTCAGCTTTCTCTTTCCTTTTAACAAGCACCTCTACCCCTTTTGAAAGAAGCACGCTGACTGCCTGTCCTCTGACAGTCGATGGGAGCAGCTGGCAGCGCTGGCAGGCAGGTTTGCCCTCCCACATCCTGAACCTGGAGACCGCAGCTCTGCCATGGCTGATGCAGGTGCTGGGGTGCAGCCCCACGGCCTTCCATGAGCTCAGAGCTGCGTGCCGGCAGAGCAGGGAAGCACCAGCAGGCTTCCAAACACTAAAACGCCGTGGGGTGACTAACGGTCAGTGCAGGCAGCCTGCCTGCCCTCCCTCCAGTTCTGCTTCCATTCAGTGGACTCGCGTGCTGGCAAACGAGCAGCCCAGTTGTGACCCCACTGGTCTCCCTTGCTCTCGGTGGGAGGCACTGGAGTTGCATCCCATCCCTGCATCCGCTCTTTGCCTTCTGAGCTCAGCTGGGCAGGGCGATGCAGGCATGCCCTGGTTAAGCCCCAGGCTGCAGTGTCTTATAGCTGCCCAGTCAGCAGGACCCAGCCTCTCCTGGGCACAGTGTCTTTGGGACATGACTTGACCTTGTTCTGTTCATGACTAATGCTTGAGCAGGAGTTTTTGGGGAGGGAAGCAGGCTCCACTCTCCCATCCCAAATCCTTCTGACTTTTTTTGCAAACAGAGAGAGCACCCAGCGTGGACTGCATGGTTTAGCTCTTGGCCTTTTTACTCCGCGTGACTCTGTAAGGCTTCAAACTGTGACTGGCCCTGTCTGAGCTGAACTCACCCTATTCCAGCATCACCCATCTCCCAGAGCAGGTCAGCCAGCTGGGGGAGGGAACCAGAGGGACCTCAGAGGGAGGAAACGAGCAGTGATCCTATGTCTGGGCTCCTCTCCTAATACAGACAGAGCCCATCCGGGCTGGAGACCTGACCCGTGGGAGCTGCAGTACCACAGCCTTGAACAGGCTGAGCCCCCCCATCCCCTCTGGGGCCATCCCACCACTGCTGGAGCGGGGAACTCACTGGTTTTGCTACCGCAGAACGGGCTGGGTGACCCCAATGGGCAGTGCTCCCACTCACCCCTGTGGCACCAGTATCACCAAACCGGGGCAGACCCTGCCTGGTGTCACCCGCTGCGGTGACCACCCTGGGAGCCCAAGGTGGGGACCCTGAGAGCAGCCCACCTGCCCCACCAGAACACAGGCGTTCCTGACTGACCCATTGCCTCCCCATATCACCGATCCCTACCTTAATCTTTACCTTCAGATAGATTTTTTTCTTTCCCCCCACTCGGTGCCTGTCCCTTGCTGCTGTTCTGGCACGGCCTGCCCAGGCACAGAGACAGGACGCCTGAAAGCCTTTCTCCTTGCAGCTGCAGAGGCTTAGCAGGACCAGCCATGATTTTATAACGCTCACATCCCTCATGTTTCTGCCACTTTTTATACAAGAATAGTAAACTTTTCAGCCTGTTTCCATATCAGGGTCTTTCTATGCTTATCATTTTGACCCTGATTGTTTCTGCCGTATCCCTTTCCCTGGTGGAGTGCCCTCGACTGTGCTTAATAGAAAGGCATTAAAATATTTGCTATACTATTCCTCTTCTATATATCTCTGTTTTGGTTGCTTTATTTGTTTTCTCTGTGCTGAGCAGCACAGATCTCCAGTGGAGTGTCCACGCTCAGGTTTTGTGGCTGGGCTGACTCTCTTGGAGCAGCTCCGTGCCCACCTAGCTCATTTGTCCCCTCGCCAGTGTATCTCTTTGCATTTATCCACACACAACTTCATCTACGACCATTCACCCATCTTGAGCAGATCCTGAGATTTCCTCAGGACCTCAAGACTCTTCTCTGGTGTGAACCAGTCTAACCAACCTGGTATCACCCACAGTTTCCCATCCCCACACCTTACCTTTTCTGGGTGAAAACACCACCAGATGGAGCCTTTTTGCCACCATGCACATGAACTACTAATTGTTATTTTCCTTTTCTCTTAATCAGCCGCATGATTGATGTGTCACTGTCCTCTAGGCCAGTCCTCTGCTTTGGTTGCGTCTCCAGCAGGACTTCTTCAGAGGACCTTGAAAAGAAAACAGTATATCAGCTTTTATTCACTACTTCCCGACACACTCCAAGAACTCTAATAGATTGGAGGGAACTTTTGCTTGTACAAAAAGCCATGCTGCTTGTAATTTATTCTCATCTTCCACAGCAGGTGAAACACCTTGCAAACTAAATTCAGCTGTAAGGCCAGCAGACTTTAAATAAGGAACATTTTTCAACTTTATGGTAGATGATCAAGCCTTAGTAAAGTCTGTGATACCAGGACAGCGAAGGGAACTTTTAAAATAGGTGCTGTAGCAAAGGAAAGTTTCCTTTTTATCTGTTTTCTCAGGGGATTTGCAGGGAGGATTGTCTCAGGATATCAGCGTATTGTCTCCCTCTGCTGTCACCTCTCCTAGCCTTCCTGACACAGGTTACCAAGCAGGAAAAAAAGCTTGAACTGGGACTGTGAATGGGTGACTGGTCTGTAGTACTGTGTCCTGTCACTGGATGGCAACAGCACCGCAGGCACAGCCACCCGGGTGCTGGCTCCCAGGGCAGAGAGGAGCTGAGCTCCACAGAAGGGGAACCCCCCCTTCCAGGTCCCCCTCTTTGTCCAGGCGACCTCGGTATCCATCAGCTGTGGTCTGCACACCCAAGGGCTGCATCACTGGTTTGTACTGGACTGCTGTTGGGACAGTGCAAGTGCTTTAGGGGGGCAGGGACAGGTTAAAGCAGGGTTGGGTTTGCTGGGCAAAGCAGACCGAGATGAGAAGGCTTGGCCCTTCCCAGAAGCTGATGCTCTGCGTAGGGTTGGTGGACCCGTTCCAGAGAGCCACAGCAGGCAGCGACCTCGCAGCCCCGCTCGGCAGAGTTCGGGCAGGGGCCTGGACAAGGTACCACAGGGCACCTTGGCTGCGCGCAGAAGGCTTTTGCTCTGAGACTGGCAGTGCCAGGAGCCATTTTTACAAAACAAGTATGTCTCTGCTGGAGAAGCAAGAGCTCCAGATAAAACTACGTTCTTGGAATAACGCCAAAATTCCCTTACAGGGCTGAATCAGCCAGTTCATTCTGCAGGGATAAACCCCCGATCAAGTACAATATTTTTAATAAGTGTAAACTTCATTTAACTGCCAGCCCAGTCACATATGGTAGCTTGTACGGCAGCAAGCCCATCTGATGCACTGAACAGCAGGCCCTCCCTGCTGCCAGCTTCCTAGGAACTGTGGTGCTACTGGGGATGACTGTCCCCAAAGCTTTGGCTTCTTCCCCTGGCGAGCAAGGGAAACAGGGGTGGGAAGCCCTCAACTGGAAAATGAAGGCAGCAAGTGAGGAGAAGGCTCTGCCACAGCTGTTCACCAGGAGAGGATTGTTCACTGAATCATTTGGGTTGGAAGGAAAGCCTTACCCCTACTCAAAGCAAGGCTACCTAAATCACTGCAGGGTTTGGTGGACCGCTGCTGAGCAGCATGCCATTTTTCTAGACCCGAGCTGGGGCTACATCCGAGGAAGGACTGGCTCTCTCTGATGCCTACAGCTTCACCGCACCCACTGGGACCAGTGCCTGCCTGCTCTGCTCACTCCTAGACTGGGCAGGGAGAGGAATCAGAGAAAGGCTTGTGCTATTTCTCTTCTCCACCCAGCCCAGGATCAACAGATGGGATGGCTTCAGCATCGCAGTGCCCAGTGCACCCCAGAAGTGGCAAAGAGGGGTGCAGGCTGCCCAGGCAGTGCTGCCACTCCCTAGGACTGGAGGAGCCATGCATGGATGCAAGCCAGGGCAGCCCCTCGCAGCTCCTCTCAAGGCCCCGGGCTCTGCGCCATGGTTCCTTGTGCCTCTTGCTGCCTGCTCCCTGCATATCCAGGGGTGCAGGGAGCAAAGGGGGACTCCTTTTGGTGAGGATTTCTTTGTGCAAGAGTCTACCCCAGGAGCAGTGTTAAGGGAACACAGCACAGGGAGATGCGCAGACAGAAAACTCTTGGTTCAAGCAGAAGAATGTGCGTTTGGGAGGGCGGGCAGAGGAATTTCATTCAGGTTATAATGGGTCCATACAAAAATGGGGAGAGTCTGAAGGAAGAGGCTCATTTACTGAGCCTACGTGAGAGCATTTTTTACTCCCACCCTCTTGCAGCTCTCTGGATGGAGGAACTTGCCCGAGCTATGAGTTTCCTTGTCAGAGCCACCCCTTCCTCCTCACGCCGGGAGCCAAACCCCGAGCCATCCCTGCCAAACACCAGGTACTGCGGGGCACTCCCCAGAAAACCAGTCTGTTCATGGTCGGGGCTGGTGGCAGCCTTCTGTGAAGCTCTGTGCGATGGGTTTTACACATATACTTGAAGTCACACTATCCCTGTGAATTCTGGTTCTTCCCTGCGTTTTTCACAGTAAAAGCGTGTGGTGTTTCACACAG